TGGNCCCCCCCCCCCCCCCCCCCCCCCTTTGGCTCCGCCACTTCTTCTCAGGAATGTGTAACTTAAAAAAACACGTGTCGGCCGCATCAGATGAGCTCAAGACAACAGCACTTTTGAAAATATATTTGATTTAATTTGGTAGCTTGATTTAGGCAGCCTGTAGCAATCACAATCCAACAATTCAATCAAGATGATGTACATGTTTGAACTTTCCTCAAAGCCAAAAAGTAGATATTCTGATGCTAATAGTAGTGTTTCTAATCGATTCAAAACGCCTTCCAACCAAACATTATGCGTCTGTCCTGGTAACGCATTGAAGTCTATTTTATATGGTGTGTTTCAGGTTGTATATTTCACGGCTACATTCCCGTATGTTATATTGATTATATTATTAATAAGAGGAGCCTTATTAGACGGTGCTATAGACGGTGTCATCTATTTTATTGTGCCCGTTTGGGAAAAACTACTTGATTTAGACGTAAGTGGTTTGTTTTAGTCGTAACTTTGGTTTTCATAAAGCGGCTTTACAGTTGTTGTTACCAACCTTGCTGCAGAATAAGGAAAGTTGCTGTTACATTTTTAACACGTATTGTGAAAAGCTCTACATATGGTTTATGTAAAATAAATCGTCATACAGTTACCGGGGGATTCCAACCAATTGACCCTGAAAACTCATCAGAAAGACTCGATGTACCTTTTGAATAGCCCGAGAAATACAGTCGAGTTTTTGGGAAATCATACCATCGGTATATCACGTTTGTGGAATGGGTAGAGCCAGATTTGTCGGGCTATATTTTCAATCTTGAATCTGTGTGCACGGGTTGACCTTTGGAGGAAGATCGAGAGAGTTCTCCACGTTGAGTTGGTCGTTGGTGTTATACAGAATAATATCATTTCATTTGATCTTAACATAGGTATGGGTAGCCGCTGCCGGTCAGATGTTCTTCTCCTTGTCCGTATCGTTTGGTGGTATTATTATGTTTGGTAGTTATAATAAATTCAAAAATAATGTATATGCGTAAGTATATCTTTCAACCCAGCTATATAAAAGCTTGTCTAAAGCTCATTATCAGTGTCGAAGTCCATACAATGTTGCCTTAACGATCTGCCAAAGCTGTCGCATCCTTGGATTGTTCAGCAACAGTTCTACTGGTATGACAATGCATTTTTATCATCATTTAACTATACTGTTGGATCTATTTCATCATGCTATAACTCTGTTATGTATTTTAGAGACGCGTTATTAATCAGTGTAATGGATGTGATAACGAGTATTATAGCAGGTTTTGTGATATTCACCACATTTGGTGGTATGGCCAGGTCAATTGGTGCAGAAATAGACGAGGTTGCTGAAGTTGGTAAGCTCAACAGGTTTGATTAACTAAGAAATTAACTAACCTATTTTTAGGTTATGCCTCCGATACTGATGTGGATTTTTTTCTAGTTGCATCGCCACCAGGGTGATCATACCTCGCAACGCTAAGCAAACAAAAATTGAATGTGATAATACTTTGTCATGGTTGACATATTACCTTTCACTTCTTCTTTACTGAAATGTACAGGTTTGAGGGATGGTAAGGGGGTTTTTTTTATATTTTTTTATGTACATCGAAGACATTGATAGCGTCGGTTTACACTATTTTCATTTTCAGTCAGACGTGTGTGGATGTTTCAATTCCACTTATGCCAAGCGTTTTATGACGACGTATAAGCGGCCTTTGCAAGACTAGAACCACACACATCTGATGAAAATTGGAATGATGCACAAAAACGTTACAAAACCTCCTTACAATTCCTTTTAATGATCTTTAAAGGTAATATGTCAAAATGTATCGTTTTCATTTTCAGGTTATGGTTTAGCTTTTGTAGCCTACCCTGAAGCCTTATCCAACTTCCCGATACCACAACTATGGTCCGTGTTGTTCTTCTTCATGTTATTTACATTAGGTTTGGACAGTGAGGTAGGTAGTTGTCTTTTCTTGATTAAAATTATTGCCCTTACATCATTCAACGACTGTTCATGTTTTTGTAAATCTAGGGCATTGGTGGTTTTGAAATTGGTTGTTATTCGTCTTGATCCACGGGCTTCTTAATGTATTTTAATGTTATGATAAAAATGCGGTCACAAATCCAATCACTAAGACTTGGCAAATACTTATATTAACTAAACCGCATGTGTCTTCCATGTCAGGGCCATAACCACATCAAGGCAAATGAGGCAATGACTCGTGCAGAATTTAACAAACAATACATTTTGTTTAAAAATTGAATATGTAAATATGATATCGGCTAAATATATTGATTATTTGAAGTCTACAGTAAAATTGGTCACCTGATAGAAAATAGACCCTAGTTACTGCGCTAGTATTCCAGCCTTCGACAACAATTCCCTTATATAATATGATTTTTTCATATAAAACCAGTTCTTTATCATTTGAATAGTTTGGTCTAATGGAAACAGTACTAACATGTATTCAAGATGAATTCCCAAAGACAAGAAAATACAAAGGTCTCATGTGTGTTGGACTTGGGCTCTTCTGTTTTGCTATAGCTCTTCCAGTGACATGCCCTGTAAGTATAACCTGCATAATAATCAGCTCCCTTTTTCTTTTGTGTTTGATCTGCAAGTATAACCAACATCTATATAGCTCCCTTGCAAATACATGTACGGCTTACATTCATGTAGACATTTTGGTTTAATCATGGTTCTGTAAGTAAAACCTTTACTGACATAGATCCTTTGTAAGAATAGCTTAAAATATTTTTATATCCCTCATGAAAGTATCGCTTACATTTACGTAGCTCCCTCTGTCGTTCGACCTGTACGTTAAGCTTATGTTTATAAAATATAGTTATGTAGATCCTTTAGTCCTTCTTGAATTGAGTTTTCCTTGTTCACCTCCATAGCTCCTGGTCAGTTGCCCGATATACTTCCACTAATTTTCCACTGAAATAGTAATTTTGGTTATTGTAGGGCGGTGATTATATTGTAACGTTAATGGACCATTATGGAGCTGATTTCTCGGTGTTGTTTATTGCTGCATGTGAAGCTGTAGCTGTAGCATGGGTGTATGGTAAATTATCCTTTTCAGAACCTCTGGTTAATTGGGGTTAATTGGCGAAGCAAGGGAACTAAATGTACCAGTTTCTGAAATAGTTTTCAAACAGAAATTGTATTTCCTGATACCAGCCAATGCCACTAGGAATTCGGGTGGATAGTAATGTGGATAATAATTTGATGTATTGAGCTCTGGTATTTCTATATCATTATCAATTGATGTATTGTGTACTATTTTAACAGTGGTATTTCTATATCACTCTTCAATTGATGTATTGAACACTATTATAACAGTGGTATTTCTATATCATTATCAATTGATGTATTGAGCACTATTTTAACAGTGGTATTTCTATATCACTCTACAATTGATGTATTAAACACTATTTTAACACTGGTATTTCTATATGACTCTACAATTGATGTATTGAGTACTATTTTAACAGTGGTATTTCTATATCATTATCAATTGATGTATTGAGTACTATTTTAACAGTGGTATTTCTATATCATTATCAATTGGTGTATTGAGTACTATTTTAACAGTGGTATTTCTATATCATTATCAATTGATGTGTTGAGTACTATTTTAACAGTGGTATTTCTATATGACTCTACAATTGATGTATTGAACACTATTATAACAGTGGTATTTCTATATCATTATCAATTGATGTATTGAGTACTATTTTAACAGTGGTATTTCTATATCATTATCAATTGATGTATTGAGCACTATTTTAACAGTGGTATTTCTATATGACTCTACAATTGATGTATTGACCACTATTTTAACAGTGGTATTTCTATATATCACTCTACAATTGATGTATTGAGTACTATTTTAACAGTGGTGTTTCTATATCGCTCTACAATTGATGTATTGACCACTATTTTAACAGTGGTATTTCTATATCGCTCTACAATTGATGTATTGAGCACTATTTTAACAGTGGTATTTCTATTTCACTCTACAATTGATGTATTGACCACTATTTTAACAGTGGTATTTCTATATATCACTCTACAATTGATGTATTGAGTACTATTTTAACAGTGGTATTTCTATATGACTCTACAATTGATGAATTGGGCACTATTTTAACAGTGAAGATATTTGATTATTGTATGTATTTAATATTCTATATAATATTTTGTAGGTGTGTTACGATTCTGGAGAGATATTAACTACATGTTAGGTTATAAATCTATTACATGGCCATTTTGGGCTGTATGCTGGGTTTCAATTCCTATACTGATTGGAGTAAGTATTTGTACCACGTCACGTGCTACTTGAATTCTGGCAATCATTTTCGAATGAATTGAATTATCAACAACAAAATACTACTGAGAGTCTTGGATTACCTATTTAACAGAGGGAATATTCAGTCCGAAACGTTGGTCAATTTGATTTTATTGTGTCTCTATGGACCAAAGACAATTGTTGACAAATGGACAGGGACAGAGTTGAAAATTCTATTTTGAATATTTGTACTTCCTATCCCTAACAATTTGGTTACTTCCTTGAGTGGCATTTGGTAACTGAGGTATGAATAACTGGACACTATTATATGGATAACAATTACTTTAATGAATAACTCGCGACGTTTCGACGATGATGCTGTCGTTTTTATCAAGCAATGGTTTTTGAAGGTTTTTGGTCATTTTCGTCTTCTATTTTACAGTTACTTTTCTTGTATCGAATGATCAACTATAAATCACCAAAATACCCTAGTGGTGATCCGTACCCTGAATACGCTCAAGGTTTAGGATGGACTCTTGCGGCCGTAGTTTTATGTCCCGTACCCATATACTTCCTATATGCATTCTTTACGGCAGAAGGTGGATTTTTAACGGTAAGTTCGAAAGTCTAGGAGATCTAATTAGTCACTCATGGGCTATATTTTTGGACAATTGATATACAAAATAAACAATATGATCCATGTGAACTCTCTTGTATACCGAGTTTGCAAATCAAAACACAGAGAACCAGCAGGTGCCCTGAAAGATTGAGAACACCCTGTTTGGCTAGTGGATTGCCATGTTTGGACGTTGAATAACATTAATAATATAGTTTTAACATTTATTTTATATATCATGATAAACCAGAACTGACTGAAAACAAGAATTGTCAAGATCATGGTTGACAAGTGAAGTGCCCTGCAGCAAAATACGAAACGAAAATTCCAGATCTACATTCTTACCAGATATAACCGCCTTTAAAAAAATGTTGTTTTAAATTTTCAGAAATTAAAAACAATAACCACACCAACATCAAGATGGCGACCAAATGATGGCAGTAAAGCGTACATGATCCCCCAAAATGGCATGAATATGGAAAATATGAAAACTGGAATAGACGCACCATATATAGTTTCAGATTAGAAAACATCAATATAACTAGAATATATCATCACCACTCATCATATTGTGTCGAATGCCAGAATACTACCTCCACCAGCTTAGAACGTTACTAGCTATTTTATCATAGGAATTGATGCTTAATAACAGTTTTTATCTAACGAGTTTGTCGAGTTTATTAATCCGCCGAGGTTAAAATCAAGGTTTACCGAGTTTGATAGTTATTGATATTTTATGCAACTATCGTAATATCTTGTTTTGCTGAGCCTACAAAATGAATCTGTAATGTAGAAATGTACCAATTGCTTTGAAACGTGTTGTTATATAAATTTGTTTACTTCATCAGTCCTAGGGTTTCAGTTAAAGCACTACGTTTTTATATCGTACCATTTCGAATTATGCACATCTTCAAAGTGTTCTTTGGGGCGTTAAGAAGAGACTGCATTAGTGCATTAGCATTATGTCTTGTGATTTGTCTGATGCAATCCGTGTTGTTGCATGGACAGTAATCGGAGATGCAACAGATCTAAGATTTATCTTTTTCTAATAATTTTTATCCTAAAATGGTTACCCCATTTAAAGAATTCTGTGTACAACGTTATTGATCATGATCCTCATTCCAATCAGTGCCATTAATAAGGACTATGTACGGTGCATCCCTTTTTATCCATAACCATATATAGGAACAGAATGTCTGTCCGAGTAAAAAATCTTTTATATCACGAAATCCCCAAATACCACTGTGCCTACCGCTACCCCAAAACACATTAAAATTAGGACCCAGCGGCCTTCTGCTTATATGTTGTCATCATTTTATACTTAAGTTATTAACATCTGTTTTTTATTATTATTTTGACTCTCGTACTTACTTGATCTGAAGTTGTTGAAATCGACATTCCATTTGCGATCGCTTACTTTTAGAGATATAATCGTCTAGGCATTTGCTTTGCTAGCTGATAGTAACTTTCCCTGACGTCAGATTTTAAATTTTTAAAAGGGATACTGTTAGAATGTAATCAAAGCTGATATGGCAAATAATTGAAGTAGTATGGCCATTCTTTTAACTTGAATTCTCAGTGGAAGGATTTTACTACTGGAATTCTGCTTTAAGAATATTGTCATTTCGTTATTTCGTTCAAGCGAAGTTTTTATTGGAGGAAATAATACAAAATACGCTGGGGTCATGTGCTAATACTTTGCTTTAACGAAATAAATGTTGATTGCTTTCTGCACACTGCATTGAGAAGTCATTTATTTAACGCATTAACATGTTCTTTTAAGGAAATTATTATAAAGGGATTTCAATCGATCTCTCATTTTTTGTAAATTTTATTTGGATTGAGTTCATTTCTGTCCAATTTGTGAAAGAAATATATTTAACAATGTATCATTTTATTTATCATAACGAAATAAATTTTTAACGTAGAATTGTAGTTTTTTTATGCGATTGCTCAATGGCGGCGTAGTAATAATGATATTATGGCATATCGAAACGGATCATGGACACACAATATGTAATTGAAAGCAACTATTTTCGAAAACTCAAAGGAATCAAAAAAATCAAAGGAGCAACTAGACAGACGTCACCACATATTCCATGTTGGTTTTCACAATCGTATGTCCCTCTTTCGGTCTCTGTGTTCGGGTACTCTGAAGATGGACAAATTGCCTCCGTAGTCAAATCCTTATATACATGTTCTGTTTTTCTACGAGACACCATTTTGGTGGAGGGTGTGGCAGGGGGGAGGGGGGAGTGAGATGAGGCTTGACTATATGTAAATAGTCTTCGGAAAAAGACATCGCATAGTTCCTTCAAAAATATCTCAAACTAGGAATTTCTTTTCCTATTTCTATAGATATATTTTCTGTATATGACAGTGTCTCAAGAAAAGACGACTCGTCTTTTTAACCTTCAAACGCGGATAATTCTGGACACATATATGGATTTGAAGGCTCAAATTTCGACTGCGAGTTGTGAACGCTATTATTGATTGTAGCTCGTTCCTTTAAAAGTAGGATACTAGAGAGATACTACACTAATCGTGATGGAAAGAAATGTAACTTATAGAACTAAAGAATACTGAACACTAGACTATTATATGGTGAAAAAAAAGATCGAAATATTTCGAATCTTGTGACCAGATGTCGTCGTCGTTCAACGGCTGGAAAACGAAATTAACTAATTTTGTCAGGTAATCTGAAGAATCCTACTTGATGTACTTAAAAGATGCGGTCTAATCATTTGATAGATTACAATTTTTACGAGACGTCTTAATTTCGGACCCATTATTAGACCATAATAGCAAGGTTGGGATAATAGCTAACTACATTTTTATTAGGACAAGATAATCTCTCTTAACACTTTCATTTCCCTTTAATTCCAATTCAATTCTTTAAGGTGAACCTTTAGAAAAGACAAAATTTGAAGCTTCAATTCGGTTGTTTGTAGCGGGTGTCAAATGGTCTGAGGGTTTATTCACACCCCTAACAGTTGGCGTTTTTGACAACGGATTAAAACAAAGGGTCGAATTATACGTTTATTACAGCTTTTGGGGATTATACGGCAATCGGTGAATTAAATTACTTGAATAGCTATAATTAGCTGGACAAATCTCTTTATTCTTTCTATATACTGACTACTGTCTATCTAGCATTGTTTCTAGTCTAATCACCCGTCAACAATGTTTTTTTTTTCGTCCCAATCTCCCCCAATATACAAATTACTCGTTTGTTTTCTTTAAGGTTTTTCCCGCCTCGCCGACCTCGATCTTCTGTCACATTCTACTGTTGTTTTAACTTATTGTTTCACGCCAGTCGTGGGGGAAATTGGAAGAAGTCTTAAAAGATTTAGTTAAGACTTAAGAAAAATATTTTTGCGTTTTCTGTCAGGCGACGGGAGTATTTTTAAATCTACGGCGTCGTTCATCCCGACGTCTATCACGTCATTGCTATAAAATGGCGCCATTGCTTTTATTAGAATCCTGAAGTTGAATAATATTAAACATTTCATTAGGTTCTTAATATAATATTTTATGAAAATAAAATAATAGTAGGGATTGAATCATAAATTAATATTAATTCTAAGAGTCGATAGACCAGAAATTTAAATATTATATTTAATTCGCAAATTCATTGTATTCCCTTCTAAAGCACAGCTTGAATTTTTTTTTTTTTGCAATAACAATAACATGGGAGAAAAATTGCAAGGGCGAAATATATGGGAAATTTCATGGTTTTCAGAAAAAGGACTTTTTTTTCTGACCAAGAACATTGAAAAACCAACATGATTTCCTTCATCTAATTTGTAAATTTTTTCTCAAGTTTGTGTCTTTAAGAAAGAATTTCAATTCAAATGTCCACGTAGAAGGTATGCTATGTAAGAAACCTAAAAATGGGATTTTGGTATCAGATTTTTATGAACCTGACTGAGCTAGTATACAGGCAGCTTCAAAGAATGTGAACAGCAGATTATAATTTAAGCGGTATCGCATTGCAGTTTGCTGGTCAAAATGGCCCATTTTGAGATCATATATTTCGTATGATTAACCAAAATTAAAATTCATCACGACGATCTGCGAATCAAATCAAATTTTCTATTTTTCGTGAAGATTTCTGCAAAAACTAGCAATATTCAGCAAAACAGAATCACGACAGGAGCTAACGCTATTGGCAAGATCAATCTGAAATCTACAACTGGAACATTTAAAAAATTACCGAATTTTGCCATGACAGCTTGCCTACTATTTTTAGATTTCCAACCTTTTTAATTCTGTGCATACACAGAAGAAAGCTAGAGACCTATATTGTAAACACTCGCTCTTGTCACAGAATATCTGGGAAGATTCCAATTGTTCGAACGTCAATACTGCCAGAGTTATATAAGGATTTAGACAAATCATGGTAGTCACTAATTCTACAGAAGATAATGACTGTATGATTATATCATATATATCATTATAGTTAATTCTAGCATGTATTTAATACGGTGTTAATTATACTCTACTATATTAGTCCATATAACTTCTGATAATTAATATACACTGTCACAATTAACTGTAAAAGTACGGTAGGCCTACATATAGGCGTATATACTATAAAATACGGTAAAGAGTTACTGTAAAATCGGCTGTAAAAATACGGTACATAGGCGTATATACTGTAAAAATCCGGTTAATATGCCTATATTGTAAACAATCAGCCGTTTAAAATACGGTAAATAAATACTGTCAAAATCAACCGTAAAAATACGGTACATAGGCGTATATACTATAAAAATCAGCCGTTTAAAATACGGTTAAGAGATACTGTAACAATCGGCTGTAAAAATACGGTACATAGGCGTATATATTATAAAAATCGGCAGTATAAAATAGAGTAAATAAAATATACACCGTCAAAATCGTATATAATACGCACTTTTTATGGTAACATATTAGCCAATAAAATCTTATTACTATGATCAGAGTTAAGAGCTGTATTTATTACTAATGAATTTTACAGTGTATATATTAATAAAGATTATATGTCTTGTTAAGTCTGACTTAAAACTATCCATAATCTCTCTCTGAACTTTGATATATTTTTACATCTATTAATTTGCTTCCTAAGAATCTCTGAGAATATTGTCAGGTACCACATTGCAAGGCGTGAAATTCCAATCTGTTTTTTTTTTGTTACTGAGGATTTGTTAGCTAAGCTAAGCTAAGCTAATCAGAAATAGTGTTCACAGCTTACCGTCGAAATTTGAGTCTTCAAATCCATGTATGTCCAGAATTATCAACTTTAGAAAGTTAAAAAGACGACTCCTCTTTTCTCGAGACTCTGTCATATATTGGAAACACACATAAAAAAATAGAAAAAGAAATTCCCAGTTTGAGATATTTTTGAAGGAATAATGCGATTTTCTTACATTTCTAGTACTTCTGAAGACTATTTATATACATGTATATTCAACAAATCAACCCCCAAAATGCCAACCTATGCCTTAAAGGTTAACGCCGGTGTTAGATTCTCACATTGAACTTCGTATCCGTCTAATTTTGCAAAACAGAAACATTTGGTTCTAAGGAAACTTCAAATTTTTGCTATTTATATTGGTAGCTTTTATATGTACAGACACATATTCTTAAGAAACAAACTTGATTTCGGGATTGATGACGTCACAAATGATCTTTTTATAATTTTTTTCAGGGAGCTTAGACAATGTTCTACAAACAAACAAAATATATATAAACATTTTTTTATTACCATAAATAGCTTAAATGTTTACCCTTTTTTGACAGCTGTTCGAATGAGTCCGCATAAGCACGTGTCTAATGTTATGGTGCGTGTAACATCGAATACCAAAAACTGGAATTCCAATAACATTTAAACTCAGTCTTCATGGGCAAAATCTAGTTGGAACCGTTTGAAAATGTCCACATGTAAAAAATTAAAGGGGCAGGTAGGCCATTTTTTTCGCCAATCATACTTTAGTCTCAGACTTTTTAGCTAAGTCAAACAGTTATAGTGTTCACAGCTAAGCGTCGAAATTTGAGCCTTCAAATCCACGTGTGTCCAGAATTATCCGCGATTGAATGTTAAAATGACGACTCGTCAAGAAAAGTCATATATAGGAAAAATAAGTAAAATAAAGTCTGAAGTATATTTAAAGGAATTTTCATACATTTCTAGTACTTCATATTTTCAAGATTAAAATCAACCTCCAAAATGGCATACCTGTCCCTTTAAGTGGGAATAAAACAAGGTTGCTTCTATGGTAGATCTTGTTTTCAAAATTTATTGAAAATTGCGTTGAAACAATTTTGATGCCACAATTTTTGAAAAAAGAGCTTTTTGAGCTCACAATTAGGGAGTGAAAGCCAACCTTTTTTTTTAGAACTGAAGGTTCTATATAAGAGTTGTTTGGCAAGAGAATTAAATAAATAAATATATCTAATATTGCCAAGCACTGCCCGAAATGTTAAGAAAAATTTATTTCCAATAATCACATCGGAAAAAGAACAGGAAAAAATTATAAAACGAAAACATGTTAAACAGCAGTAGGCTTTGAATTAATCAAGTGAAAATCCCAAACCAAGCGAAAACAAAATAAGTGGGGTGGGGCTATCAATCAAATATAGATTATCAATAATACCTATATGAGAAGAATACGGTTAATTTGAAAAAGTCGCTATAAACAAGTAAAAACTGGTCGAGATATTGAAGTGGACAATCAACTATTACTATTAACATTGACCAATGAAACGAGAGTATTACGGTATTACAGCCAAACACAATGAGATTGAACACAATAGTCCCTTGCGGAGTCTTACGTAACAAACGAGGGTATAAAGCGGTCCGGAGATGTTTTGATGGACAGACTAGGTCGTGGCTTGACAACAACACAGGTAAATATTCTTATTTAACCCGGCTTGTGACGACAGTAA